AATATATTTTTATTAAAGAAAAAAAAAACTACAAAACATATTACAAGAGACATTACAAAAACATCTTAGAGACATCATACAAACACCATATAAACACCATAAAGATACCACTACAGAAACAATAAAAACACCATTGCACACCATACAAACACCGTAGAGATATCACACATACACCATAAAGACACCATAGAGACACCACACAAACATCATAGAGACTATAGAGATACTATACAAATGCTATAGAGACACCGTACAAAGAAAAGTTCTGATAAGAAAAAAAAAGCCTCAAACAAAAGAAAATTGAAATTCAAAGCTTAACACGTACCAAAAAAGAAACAGCAATACTAACAACAGAAAGAATTCCACTTAGCAAACTGAACAAAAAAAGCACTATAAAAGAGATTACACCAAATTGAATAATACCAATGACGAAAGAAATACTATAAAAGGAAGTATAACAAAAAAAAACACCAGAAAGGATGACTCCAACGGCGAAGCACCGAAATAGGCAGCTCTATTGATGAAAAACCCATGAAACAAATCTCCTAAAACCCCTAAAACAAAACTTTAGCATACAAGCACCAAAATGGACGACTTCTGTAACAAAAGTACCAAGATATGAAAGCACCAAGATAAATGACTTCAGCAATGAGAATCTACAAAGAAAAGTATCTAAAAACTTGAAAAAAAGTTAGTATATACAAAGAAACAAGAAAGGAAAGAAATCCATGGATCGTAATTGTTCTCAAACGAGTTAAAGATTTTGCAAAAAAAAAGTTGACTTTTATAGCAAACTCGAAAATTAAACAAAGATAAGTATTATATATTTCTAGGCATAATCATATCATATATAGACAATAATAAAACATCTTGCTACCTATTTGAACCAAAAATCTACGCGACAAGTGCCATAAATAAAGAAAAGGCACTGAAATGAGCAACACCATCAACGAAGAACAAGCACGACTCTTTGACGAAAGAAGTACCAAAGTAAACAGCTCCAGAAATCAAGTACTGTACGTATGATAAAAATTTATAGATGTTGTATAACTGGTTATTATAAAATAAAAAAAAAGATCAAAAAATAAAAAAATTTAAATATTTTATATCTTGATATTTACTCATTTCACCTGATACCTACTATATACTACATACTGTATAAGCACAAAATAGCGCTCGCAGGCATTATTTAAAAATCAGGCCCTTAAAAATAACCTATATAGTCCCAAATTAGTGCTCATGAGCGTCTCGAATTGCGCATCCTAATGCAGCATATATAATTTATTATTTCGATTTAGCTTATTAGCAAGGCCTGTATTTAACCTGCGGTATGATAAGTCGTCAATATAAAATCTCACGTTTGAGTTATATTTCATTTTAATAATTATATTTTTGCATAGCTACTAAATTTATAAATAAACTTGATGCTAATCCAACAAAGATTATGGAAGATTATTCAAGAAATTGTGGGTCCTAAACAGCTTATCTTTTTTGAATATTGATTATTCATTACATTACTGAAGCAATATTTGTTTTATGCAGCTGGTTATCTGGTGAACCTGTCTCAAGCTATTGGAAGGTTGATTCTAGCTGGGTGTGATTTGACTAGGTTTGCAAGGTATACTGTACATTTAACTTTTCTTATTTTTGGTGTTGCATTTATTTATTAAATATACTTGGTAGAATTGTTTTTATATATATATTATTTTGAACAGGCTCGTATGGCAGAACTTTTCGATGTGCTAGATAATGTTAATAATGGCAGATGTGAACACACTATTGTTAACAAAGACGCAAATGAAGCTAACGTTAGTAAAGGTATATAGATATTTCAACATACACATTGTATTAAAGTAAAATGTTAATTAATATAGATTATACGTTTCATCTATATAATAGTTGTGTTACAAAATGATCTTGATGAAAAACTTGTAGTACACGATAGCATTATTATTTTTGAAAAAGTCCTGATCGTAACATCTAGTCAAGATGTACTGGTAAATAAAAATACAGTTACTTTTTATTATTCATTATTTTACAATTTATAATTGAGTATATAATCTTTATAGGTTAAAGAACTATCTTTCAAGGTGTGATAATACTATAAGTGCACTTCACATGTTGCTTTCTTTAAAATGATAAGCACATATAATTTGATCGGTCTAATGTAATTATTTAATATTATATGTAGGTTATTCTCTATAAATAAATATTCCATAAATGCATTTTTGCCCAACAACATACATTTATTGAAGGTTGAAAACTGTATTAAATTTCAATAATACATATGGACATATTCGAAATAACACACAGGTCAATTCTATTTCGTGCTTATATGATCAATGTGAATGAAATTATTTGAAGAGTATTGCATGATGATGAATAGGTATTTTATATTCATAATTTGTGAACTTGTTTTGCTTTTTTAAATTCCAATATTTAATAAATGATCTTTATACTCATGAGCTGAATAAAATGTTTAATATGAGTGAAATGATTTGATGGAAAATCATAGTGGTAAATAGGTATTATATTTATGAGTTCCAATAGTTAATAAAATAAAGTGTTTAGAGCTGAATTGATGGCCAAAGGAAATGAAATGATTTAAAGAAGATTGCAGTATAGTAGATAAGTATTTATGTTTTTGATTTGTAAACTTGTTTTGTTGTTTTTTAATTCCAATGATTAAAAATGATTCTTTATGAATGAATTTATTAATGTGAATAAAGATATTATGTAGTGTAAAGAATTAATTGTATGTGAAATAATGGATTTATTTAGTGTCAGGTTTTGGGTGAGGAATAGAACTTGATTTAGGGTTAGAAATAGAATTAGAACTAAAATGAGATTGGGTTTTAGTTGAAAGGAATTATGTACATATTGGGAAAAATGAAAACAGCTATAAAAAAAATAAATAAAGCAATAATTTAAAAAAAATAAATAAAACTGATGATTTAAAAAAATAAATAAATACAATAAAAAAAAACGATAATTAAAAACATTACATTAAATTAAAAAAATATTAAGCTAAAAAATGGTTTATTTTTTATTATTATTTTAATAGTTTGCTTTTTCTGATGAAAACTTTCTATATACATACTTCTTTTTTATTTATTCATAGTAGTTTTCTTTTACTTTAAACTGTATAAATAATCTAAAATTAAAGTAGACACAGGTTAAATCAATAAATATCAGGTGCATACTGGAAGACAAGTTTCCTGTTATGTACCTGATAGTTTGCTATAGATCCGCCAAATTTGCTATTATGTTGCCAATATGCTACTGTTATTCAGCAATTATTTGGCAGATCTATAGCAGACTATCAGGCACATAGCAAGAAACATGTTTCCCTATATGCACCCAATATTTATTGATTCAACCTGTGGTAGTTTTCTAATAAATTGATTTGAGTTAAAAAAACTCACTGTTAATAAGGCATTTAAAAAAAATACTTTGTTAATCACTTGAAAATTGAACCATTATAAAGCACAAAAAAAATAGAAACTCCAAATGATAAAAATAAAAGACATCACATTCAATTGCAAGAAAATATGCATAAAAAAAGAAAATCAGAAACTGCTGAAGAATGTAAAAGGTGTTTAAAAAGTGAACATGAGTCAAGATGTTAGAAAAGAACAAAACGTCAACTAGAGAACAATAATGCCCAGAACCAAGATACTAATTCAGTGCATGTAGAATCACCTTCTGTTAATATTGAATAGCAGCTTTCTGAATCTGATCAAGATCTTTTACAGAATTTTCATATTAAGATTAATAAACTTGCAAATAAATTATATACTATTTGTAAGGAGTATTTTCCATCGATTGAGCTTATAGGCGTAAGAAAAGAGTGTTATTGCTGTTATTATAATACTAAAGATATTATAAAAAAATTCTTAGAAAAAAACAATATGAATCCAGGTAATGTACTTGAAGAATTACAGGGGCTTACTAAGATAGAAGAAATGTTAATTGCACAAATTTTTCCTGTATTGTCTTCATAGAGGTTAGTATGTATACCATAGTAATGTTATTAACTTTTCACAGGGTGTATCAGAGTTTACAACTAGACTTCCTGGCATCCATTATCATTGGATATTCTTGTTGTACATCATCAATCTGCAAATAGTATAGAATTTAAAGATTTTAATGTTTATTGTGTTAAGGTTGTTTGTGCACTATATTGGTTAAAGTAAATAATCGTTATTACCATATAACTGCGAAATAATGCACAGAGGTGTAATTTCAATTTTCGATCTAAATTAAGCTTAATTCGGGCCAAAATTCAAAATAACGCCCCTGTGCGTTATTTCGTGGCTATATGGTATGCTGATATTGCTATTGATGATGAAATATTATGATCCTTACCTGACAATGGACCCATTATTGATAAGCTGCCCTAGCTTAAAAATATAGAAAGTGAATATTTTGATAATATCAATGATAATGCTGAAGAAATTATTACTAGCAACTTTGTTTCTATATCCTTTCTATCTCTTAATGAAGAACATGCTATTGCTAGCATCCTTAATCAAATGCAAGCTAATAATATTTCTCTTATGTGGCCGAATATAGATGGAAGTCCTATTAATGAATTCCAAACACCTGGGTATATTGCATATGCTTTTCCTACTTTGTATCTGACCGGAAATACAGATCTTCGATCACAACATATTAGAGAAATTAAGCCGGCTGAATACTTTGCACATTTGTTAAAATATAAAGATAGCTGATTTGCTCGCCATACTCGGTAGTGATATTTTGAACTAAATTCACAGATAAGGTGGAGAGCCTTACAAGAAGGAAAAATATATGTTAAGCAAAGTTTAAATAGAGAACAGCTTACTGTTAAAGAAATTTAAGAAATAGTTAATAGTGATAGTCATATAGTAGATAAAATCATATAATTCAGTGAGTGCTTGCATGGAACTCGCCAATTTTGAAACAAAAGATAGATGGAACTTACAGAATGATTAAACAATTGGGATATCATGGGATGATCTTTTTCACTTTTAGAGCTGCTGATTTGTATTGGCCAAAACTTCATGAACTTATGCCACATAATGAGAACCCGGCAACAGAACAAAAGGCAAACAAACAAAGACACCAAAATCTAATTAACAATCCACATATTGCCATATAGTTTTTTAAAAAACACTTTAAACTATTTTTGATTCCTAAATGGAATCTGAAGACTGGTGATATAGGTTTGAGTGGCAACATTGTGGTAGTACTCATATACATGGTATTGGAAAAATAAAAGATGCTCCAATTATTGAATGGGAAAGAATGAAAGAAAATGAAGAGTTAATGTGTAATATAATACAATATCTGGATTCATTAGTTACTACAATTAACCCTGGACTTGATGCTTCTACACCTAATCACCATCCTTGCCAAAAACCTCATGATGAGATACACAATGACTTGCTAGATTATATAGAATTAGTTAACAAGCTGCAATGACATATGCGTTGCAGTCCTTCATATTGCCTTCGAGTAAACAAAAAAGGCCAACAACATTGCAGGTTTGGATATTCTAAAGAAACTACAGAAGCCACATACTTACATAATAACAATGGCCAACCTGAGCTAATTATAGCAAGAAATGATCTTTATATTAATCCACATAATCGACTTCAGCTTCAGGGTTGGTGTGCAAATATTGATTTAAAACCAGTTCTTAATATAAATACTGCTCTACAATATATATCTAAATATACAAGTAAATCAGAGCCACAGTCTGCTGCTTTCTCAGAGATATTAAATCAAATTTTTAGCAATAATAAACCCAATGATTTATCCCTTGGTGTATTTCAAAGATTATTGCTACATACTATTGCAGAGCATAATATTTCTGCACAAAAAACATGTCATATCCTTCTTGGCATTCCACTTTACTACTCAAGTCGTTGATTTATTAGTTTAAATTTTAACAAAGATGCTCCAAGATGGCTTTGTGGCACTGGAAATAACAATGAAACAAGTTTCTCAGTAAATAATGAAACTAAACAAACTGTACAATCATCTCTTCAAAAGTATTGGAGTCGACCTATTGAACTTGAGGACTTTTCACTTTTTCAGCTTTATTTAAAATATAATTTTTGGAATGATCAGTGAAAACAATGCAAGCTTGAAAACATCATACATATTTGGCCACAACCATCACCTTAGTGTAATGGAACTCAATAAGAAGATTTTTGTCATGTAAAAGTTTTACTTCATATTTGCTATCATAATTTTGATCAATTAACTGAAAACAATACTGCTTCATGGTCAAACCTCTTTAATAAACACCATGCAGTAATCAAAAATGAACCAATTAATTTACTTGGCCCTCCTGTAGATAACTTGGAAAATGAACTTGTTAGTAAAGAAAATGATAATGAACAAAATAATGAATGTAAAAGAGAGATACTGCATGAATGGATAATCCTATCAGGGATGGGTCCAAATGCAATTATTAAAAGCTCTTTTAATTTAGGATTATGTAATATAGATCGAAATTATGATTGGGTTGGTGATGTTATATAGCGTTATCCCACTTTAAATTTTGCAGAAATGGCTAACTTTATACAACAAGCTCGTTCTTTATACACTATTAATAATGAGGACTCAATAATCAATTTTGTTATAGATAGCTATATATTAAATGAGAAACAAATAGCAATATTCAAGTGAATTAAATCTCATTATAGTATCTTAATAGCAAATACTATCCAAATTAAACCACTCAGGATTATAATAATAGAAACTGCGGAAACAGGAAAATCACACTTGATTAAAATTATTCAAGGCCGTTTACAAGAAATGGCAAGAAATTTTGATAACAATACCAAATCATCTATACTTGTACTTGCACCAACTGGTGTTGCAGTATTCAATATCCATGGAACAACAATTCACTCAGCACTTTCTATACCGATAGGAAGTACTAATTTTGATATAGATGGTAAAAGACTAAAGCAGCTTCAGAAAAGACTAGATGGTGTAATCTATTTTGTCATTGATGAAAAAAGCATAGTAGGGTGTCAGATGCTTGTATTAATTGATATGCAACTATGCCAAGCATTTCCTGAATATAAAAATCAGCCTTTTGGTAATTGATCTGTAATTCTGGTTGGAGACTTTGGTCAATTTCCCCCAGTGCTTGATGAACCAATATATTCACAAATTACTTGACATGATTCATTATCAAATGATGGTATTGTTATATATAAACAATTCCAGGAAGTCTATAAACTTGATATGATTCAGCATCAATTAGGTAATTCAAAAGATCAATGTAATTTCAGAGATATTCTGCTATGACTATGTAATGGTGATTCTACAGTAGTTAACTGGAAAGTACTTGCTACACACTTTATTGATTTATCAACTATATTACCTTCAAAACATGAACAATTCTTAGATGCTATCTATATTTTTCCTCTCAAAGCTGATGTTAATGAACTTAATATTAACAAGCTTAAGTTCTTGAATTGTTCTATTGCTAGAATAAATGCTGTTCATACAGGTGGTGTTGAAGTATGTAAGGCTGATTCTGATCTAGCAAAAGGTCTTGAAACACAATTACTACTAGCAAAAGGTGCACATGTTATGCTTAGGGCTAACTTATAGACAGAAGTAGGATTAGTAAATAGTTCAATGGGAATTGTTCAAGAAATTATATTTTAAGAAGATCAAGGCCCACCTTCTCTTCCCAATGCAGTTTTAATAGAATTTGATAATTATACTAGCCCTGCTATTATGACTGCAGAAGGTAAAAAATTTGTTCCAATATCACCTATAAGACATATCTGGGAAGGGACAAAAGAAACTTGCTCACGCATACAAGTTCCTATAATCCTTGCATGGGCGATTACTATATATAAAAGTCAAGGGTTAATATTACCAAAGGCCATAATAGATCTTGGAAAAAAGGAATATGCTGCTGGCATTTCATTTGTAGCAATCTCCCGTACTCGTTCTCTTAGAAATATCCTTTTTAGATCATTTTCACTTGATAGACTTCAACGTGTCAAGAATTACAAAAGGTTGCAAGAAAGGCTTGCTGAAGAAAAGTGGTTAAGTTCTATGATTTCTCAGCAATATTAACAAATAGTAACTCTAAATTATCTTAATATAAATTTTTTAAAAAAAAATAGTTGCTTAACTTTTACACTATACTTTCATTGATTAAGAAATTCTAAATATTATAATTAATACTATTGGAGTTTTTTTAAAAAAATAAAAAAATAATAAAGCTTATACTTATATATAGA